CCTGTCATCCCCACCCCAGCAGGGTGACCGATCCCCCTAGTCTGCCTCAGGAACTATCTGCCTGCCCACAGCTGGGGACAGCTTGGGCCCCGCCTGTGTGGCCCTTCCTCTCTAGGCCATGCCCTGAGGGTGTGTTCCTCCTCACCCTCAACCTATCTGGAGAGCTGACACGTCCAACCCTACACCGCAGTCCCCAAACTCTTAAGTGCTGTGACTTCCACCATGTATGAGGTGGGGCTCGGGTGCTGACGAGTCCTGTGGGCCCGGCCAGTAGGGGCAATAGGCAGCCCCAGTCCGGGTCCTCTACACGTCCCTGGCACCTCCTCAGCCCTCCTCCCCGAGCCCAGGCCACCAGACTGCGGTCCCGCAGCGCCCCATCGTGTGGGTGTGGCACTTCTGTAGGCCTACTGAGCCACACCTCGCTGACCCCAGTCCTGGGCAGCTAGGTCTGCGGCTGCCAGAGGCTGCATGCACACGAGAGGCTCGGCCCTGCCGCTGGATGGTAAGCGACGCTCAGCTCTCTGAGGCCTGCATGCTGCAACCCGGAGCAGCCGTGTCCCCTGCTGGCTGTGGCATCCCTCCTTCCTGCACCCTCGGCACCTTGCTGGGGAGGGGCACGGTCAGGTCCCCACAAGATGAAGGCCACAGGTAAGGCCTCTGCTCAGGCACCCCATCCTCAGTGCCCAGGGTGCACACCTGTGCAACTTAGCCCAGCCCAGGTGCTGCCTCAGGTGTCCCTGCTCTGCGCAGAGCCCCACAGGTTGACAGGATGGCAGAGGCTCCCACCTGACCCCCGCTGCCCGGGCACTATGCTGTCCCACGGGCCAACTAATAATCTTCAATGACATCCTTAGGGTCCTCTCCTGCCACCTTGGGTCAACAGGCTCTCCCTGCACTTCCCACCCCATCCACATGGGGGCGACCAAGGCCCACGACATCAAGGACTCCAGGTGTGCTTGGATTTCAGGCATGCCTTCTTGACCCTCAAGGGGGGTGGAGCGGATGTACCACTGCCCCCAGAGGGCTGGCCCAGACTCCACAGCCACTGGGGCAACAGTCATGGCAAGATGAAGACCGGAAGACAGAGCTTCCCAGCCTTCATGAGACCCGGAACCTCTCAGAGCTGGCTTCTCATGGTGGGGTCCTGCACACGTGGCTTTGGTCCCACCCTAAGGGACAGGACCAGGAGGAGGAGACCTGGAAGTTAAGTGGGTCAGGCGATGCTGCCAGGGTCTCGGGGTAGATGAGAACCCCTTGGGGCAGGGCCTGGGCCTGAAAAGTGTGGTGGGTGGATGGCTGGATGGCTGGGTGAGTGGGTGTGTGGGTGCAGGGGTGAACGGGTGATGATGGGTGGGGGTGTGGAGAGTGGCTAGGGCTGGATGGGAGGACGGACAGGGAGCAGGTGGCAGGTACATGGACAAGTGGCTAGACGGGTGCCACATGGGTGCCTGGTGGACCCCCGGCCTGCGTCCCTTCTCCAGAGCGCCTCCTCCTTCCTTGGCCCCCATGGGCAGCTCTGACGTGGGCGGGATGGCAAGGGCTCTGCGGCTCACCCTCAAGGCCCCTCCAGGGCCTCATGCTCCTGGCCCCTCCCAGCAACGGAGAGCCCTGACCCCACTCCTGGGCCCGGCCTTCCCCACCCAGGACCTCTTCCCGGGAGCAAGTGAGTCCCTGAGCCCCCCGCGCCTCTCCTTTCTGGTGCTTGCATTAGCTCCTCTTCACAACAGAAAACCAAGCAAGTGGCAGCCGCAGAACGTTTTCCAGATGGCCCGGGCCTCTGTCACAAGCGCCAGAGATGGAGACACAGGCCGACAGGGCAGGGCCGCCCGCCTCCACCTGTGGGCAGGTGGGTGCACAGCGGGACCACACATCTGCCCTGCACAGCCTGCTCCCCAGGCTCTTGATTAAACACCCAGCTCCTGACCAGCAGCTCTGACGCGGGCTGCAGCAGCCTGGGATCCTCTGACGTCCCGGGGGCTTAAAGGCAGGAGGAGGCCTAGCCCTGGAAAGAGGAGGCCTTGCCCCAGCTCTCCAGCAGGGGGCAGTGCCACCCTGCACCCGAGGCATCTACGGGGCGCCCCGTCCTTCCAGGGCACCAGAGTGTTCTCCACACCCGGGGCTTCTGAGTGGGTCCAGCAGGACAGAAGGAAGGGCACCATCAGGCGAGGTGGGGACCCCGCACAGCTACCCTGGCTTCTCTCTAGGGTGCTACGCAGAGGCCTCCAGGGTCAAGGGCAGTGGGAAACATAGGTGAAGTGACCGGCCAGCCCAGATGTCCCTCCTGGGGACAGCAGGACCACTGGAGACTCTAGGCCCAGGGTCCAAAAGGCCCCCTTCCAGGCAGCCTCGACATATTCCAGCCCTGCAAGGGGCGGCCATGCCCACCCTGGGCACAGCAGTGGCCGCAGCTCTTCTACCCTGAGGGCCCGCCACACTGGGGCCTCTATGTGTACTGAAGGGGCTCAGCCCCATTCCCACCAGGTCCCCAACATTTTCCACACCTCCCTGCTGTCACACGGCCTGCCTGCTGATGGAAGGGGCGCCCCCCTCCTGCCCCTCGGCTCCAGTCCCAGCACAGGGTGGGGAACACAGTGGCCTGAGGACGCCCCCACTCCCCACTGGAGACCGGAGCCCCTGCCCCCAAGCCTGCCGCCTGTCACCGCCTGATTCTGCTGGTGATAAACTTATCAAGCCCAGCATCTCTGGTCCAGAGGGACCTCCCTGAGCTGGTGTTCCCAAGGCAACCAGAGACAGCACAGGGAGGCCGAGGCTGGGCTGCCAGGCCTGCAAAGCAGCCCGGGGTTCTGTTGGGCTGGAACTGGGCGCCAGTCATCTCTCTGGAGGTTGTCACCCCACACTTCCTCAGGGATCCCCAGCCAGGGCCCTGTATCACCTGAAGCCACCGACCTGGTAGCCCTGCCTGTGCCACCTGTGGAGTTATCACAAACCTGCCCCTTGGGCCACCAGAGCAGAAGGGGAGCCCCCCTGCACAGTCTCCCCAGTTAGCCAGAGGCCTCTGTCCAACTTGTCACATTTTGTCCCCCCAAGCTCTCGCCTGAAACCCCACTTACGGGGACCTCCACCCATCTGGGGGGTGGGTGCCACAGAGGTCACACCCAGGTCACAAGGGACACGGAGGTCTGTCTCAGGCCAGCAGCCATGTTGTTCCGTGGGAACCTGGGATGCAGGAAGGGGGCTGTCCACTTCTGTGGCCGAGCCTCCCTCCAGACCAAGAAGGGGCCCCGCAGATGGGCAAGGTTTTATAAACAGGGACAAGACCAGGGGACAGGCAGCTTGGGGACCACCTGCTCCCACAGGGCTGTGCTGCAGCAACCCCGACCTCCTGTGGCTGGAGGGCTGACCCAGTCCCCCTGGGTCAAGGGCTCAGATCCATAGCTCTTCCAGCAAACACACAGGCAGCCTGTCCCACAGGGTCTCTGGCACCAGCCGTCAGCCAGTCAAGTGCCCAGGTCAGGTTAGGATGCCCCCCCGGCAGGCAGGGGAAGTGTAAGTGCGCCCCGCCTCCCTGGGTGGCTGGCTGGGTCTAACCCTCCCTTCCCCACCCCAGGCAACCTGAGCCCTGAGGCCGAATGAAGTGTGTCTGTGAATGGGAGCACCTGAGTGTGCATGAGTGTGTGTGTGTGTACAGGTACAGGGTCTACGAGTGTGTGCACATCTTGCACTGCACCACAGCGCAGGACCCAATCCTTCAAGGCCCCGCCCCCAGCCGCAGGTGCACCGCGCCACCCCAGGAGGGGGCCGAGCCGGAAAAGGTACACGAGGGGCGGGGACACAGTCACCAACTTGGGGCCGGGGGAAGCCCAGCTTCCAGACAGCGTGGAGACAGAGGGCATTTATCATGGGGGATGGCACGGACGGGTGTCATTAGCCTGTTAGATAACGCCATCAGGCCTTGGCCCTCCGTGTGAAGCTCCCGCCCGCTCAGGCAGCATGCACGCAGAGGCTGGGCGCAGGCACCCTGGGGCTGGGCGGCGGCAACGTGTGGGCTCTTCAGTGGCTGCAGTGCGCTGGTACTGCAGGGAGGCCTCCCTGGGACCTCTGGACTGGCCGGGCCCTGGGGACATCGGAGAGGGACCAACCCGGAGGGAGACTGCGAGTCGGAAGGCAGCCAGGCAGAGGCAGAGGCAGGTGCCAGCAGGCCCGGGAGGACACAGGTTCCCCACACCGTGTTCCTGGGACTCTGGGACCCGAACAGGAAACTCCACACGAAACAAATGAGAACTGAACAGAGATGTATTTTGAAACGCTCGTTTTGTTCCCCTCTCACGTCCCTCCGCGTCTCTTCCACCATCCTAACACCACTGTTGGTCCGACCCTGGCGTCTGCCCCTCGATGTTGCACAGAACAGTTGTGGAGGGAAGGAATTTCACAGTCAAACAGTCTCGGAGGCTGCCAGCAAGGAGGACAGCACGGCTCCACGCGGGGCGGGGCCGAGGACAGGAGGACCCGGCTCCCGTCGCAGGCAGGGGCCCACCAGAGCCTCCTCCGGGCCTCACCCCGACCTCTAGCAGAAACAAAACAAGCCCCACCCGCCACATCATCCAGTATATGTGAGGGATAAAATTACATTTGTACAAAAATAGATTTTTTTTTACCTTTCCCGATGCTTTAGACATCCTCTTAGCTCTCTCCTCGGGGACATACCGTCCTAAAGCACCAGCAAGCGTCCCGCTAAGGCATTGCTGGGGGGACCGCCACAGCTGCGCGCCCCGGCATCTTAAAATAGATGCATCTCCTGCCTTGAGACACGCACTCGAACCCGGATTTCACCACAGGAGGGGTCCTCGGGTGCTCGCTTACAGGAAGCAAATTTACAAGGAAACAGGGAAGGTCTTGATTAAAAATAAACACGCAACATTGGTAACTGGGACACGGCTCCTCGCACGCAGCGTCTCTGCACAGCATGGACACGCTTACACCGCACACGCACGTGTGCAGGGCCCAGGCCACGCACCCCAGGGCCGTGATGCGGACGACATCGTCTGCTGGGGCCGGCCCACCTGGGTGTCCTCTGCGGCACTCACCAGGCACTAGCCTGGGATCCCTGGAGACACCCAGCACCTAGGGTCCCCTGGGGACAGCACGCTTCCCCCGTGACGCAGGACCATCTGGGGGCCAGGCGGGCCACCTGGTCCCCAGTCATCTTCGCTCCTCAGCCGTGGGAGCCAGGGTGCATGTCCACACGGAAGGTGACACGGCAGCAGGGAGGTCTAGGCCCAGCCAAGGCAGGGATGGCCACGAGGTGGCCGGGGAGCTGATGTCAGTGCTATCTTTAGAAAATTAAAGACTGTCCCACTAAAATATAATAATAATTACAAAAAAATCACCTTACTGCGCCAGACGGGAAGCACGGCTGAAGGCTGGTAAGGAGCCGCCCGTCTCCCACGGCCCACCCCAGGGGCAGGCAGCCCTGGACGCACAACGGCCATGACGCGTACTGACAAGAGGGGGACAAGAGGCCGCAGAAGAGCAACAGGAAGCGGCTGTAGGTAAGGCTGCAAGGACCAGGAGGCTCAGGGTTCTGGCTTCAGGTGGCAGCGAGCCAGGCCCGGAGAGGGAGGGGACACACCACTGAGAAGTCTTCTGTCCTTAGGTTTTCTCTGCTGGAGCCCTGACATGCCCACAGGATACACAGGGGCCTGGGACACTACACACACAGTACACGGGTGACATGATGACGGGGTACACCGGGCCGGCTGCGGGGCGAGACTGGGCGCCCGTGAGGCTCTGCCAGCACCAGCCCAAGCCGGGCACAGCTGCCCCTGCAGCAGCCTGCAAGCCTCCTGCCCCACAGGGGCACTCAGGCCCTGGCCAGAGCTGCTTGTGGAGGGACAAAGCCCTCCCTGCCCCCGCGTCCCCAGGCACCCAGCCACCCACTTGGGCCATGCATGGCACTGGGCTCCGGCCAGCAGTGGGCTCCCTGGCTAGGCTGGGCTTCCAAGAGCCACGGGAGCCGGAGCCCCAGCTAGGGTGCTGGGCAGACGTCACCCACAAACAACACTGCACTGGGGCCCACGAGGCCTGCAGAGCCCTCCGAACAGGCGCGGAGGCCAGAGATGAAAGACTCCCCCGCCCTGCCCGCATGGCTCCTTCTCCAAGAAGCCCCGATGGCCTCGTGTGTCCCTGGAGGGAGCCCAGCCAGTGCCCCTCCCCCTTCCTGGGGACAATGACACAACACAAGAGTCAGCAGAACCCACACAGGGGCACCCTGCATGCTGCCTGGTGACCTTGGGGTACCCCGCATTGAGCAGGTGCACAAGGCAGGAAGATGCAACCAGGACAATGACACAAAGAGGACCCCAAGGCAGGGATGGTGTCCCCAGTCTCTGCGGCTTTACAGTGGCCCCAGCTTGACAGCTGAGGAGAGAGCGGCTCAGTGTTCTCGATGGCTGGCACAAGCTCACCAGTTTTCTTTGGAAAGCTGCTCACCCTCCACTCCGTGAAAAGGAGCCCGGCGCCCCGAGGCTCCCCTCTGGGCTCCAGCGGGTGGGCAGCGGGCCTCCTGCGGTGAGATCCTGGCTAGCAGCCACCTGTCTTGCCCCTGTCCCTGGGTGAGCCATCACGGCTGTCAAAGACAGGTCACTCTGATCAGGGACGCAAGAGGGAGGTTTGAGAACCAGCAACTATAAACAGCAACAAACAAGCCCCCTCCTGGGGCCTGCAGCCCCTGGGCACCTGAAGACCCGGCAGGCAGGGAGGGCCCTGGCAGGGAGGGCCCCGGCTGGGCCTCAGCTGCGCCGGCTGCCCCCAAAGCCACTGGTCCCGGACCACAGACAAGCGGCAACACAGATGACAGGGATGGCAACATCCCTCGGGAAGGCAGTGCCACACGGCGCCCCAAGGTCCACACAGGCCAGGCGGGAAGGGCAGGGACGGGCGCAGGCAGGTGGGCGGCCACTCCGCCTAGGTCATCTGGTGCGGGGCCTCCAGCATCTCCATGAGGAAGGTGTCGATGGGCGTGTCCCCGATGAGCTTGAAGAAGAAGAGGTGCTCCAGGCACTTGAGCCCAATGGAGCGCAGAGCCGGCAGCCGGAGCAGCAGCTTGGCGAACCTGCATGGTGGCGGGCAGGGTGGTCAGCCGGGCGCGGCACACACCCTCACCTGGGTGCCTGGTGGTGGGGGGTCACAGGCGCAGCCCTGCCTGAGCTGCAGGCAGTGGGCAGCCACGGGGGAGTTGCAAGCAGGGAAGGGCAAGGAGAAAGGGTCTGCGGCAGCTGTGTCCCCAGACAGGGCCCTTCCTGGGATGGGCCACAGGAGGATGCAGGGAGGGGGCCCTGGGATCGGGGAGGCTCTTGGGGAGCTGGGGGCATCCAGGGCACCCACAGCAGGCTCAAGGGGGCAGTGCAGCACGGAGACGGGCCAGCATCCTAATAGCCCTGTGTCTGTCCTGGACCCTGTGCCAGGCCGCCCCCCAGGACCCGAGGGGCATTCCCAGTGCCTGTCCCTTCCAAGGGAGGAAGCCCTGTGGCTGGCTGCCTCCGACACAGTTTTAAAAGCAGGAACGCAGCCTGGAGGCTGGACCCAGGCCAGAGAAAGAGCCATTTTCTGCTGAGCTGGCGAGATGGACTGCGGCAGGGAGCCAGGAAAAAACAAGCCGCTGCCGCCCCTCCCGCCTCACCCTCTGGAAGTTCACTTTAACCCAGACCAGATGAGCGCCCAGCACACGCACTAGCCGTGTGCGTGCCGGGCTGTAGAGGAGGGCCGGGTGCCCCACCTGCCCAGCCCCGCACCCCTGGCCTTTTGGTGGGAGGCAGGAAGCGCCCTTCAGATAGAATGGGCAGTGCCCGGGCAGCAGATCGAACCCCAAGGCCACCAGTCTCCTCCTTGGCACCTACTGTGTGCCTAGCACCACGCCCTGGGGAGAGAAGATCCCAAACCTCTGTGGCTCTGCCTCTGGCCATTTGTTCTGTACATCTGGAAAGCCCCTACTACGTGCTGGCACCAACAGGCCCCTGGTGGCTCCAGCTCCTAGGGTACCCGGCCCGTAGCTCACAGCTGGGCACCCCTGCTCTAACTCAGAATGGAGCTCTGGAGCCGCTAAGATGCGGGCAGCTCAGAACCCCCCGCGGGTCCGGGTGGGATCAGGGGGCTCACCTGCCCGGCTGCTCCGGGTACTTGTGTTTGCAGTAGGCCTCCAGCGACGCATACACCTTCTCCCTCAGCGCCTCTACCTCAGCGGGGTTTGAAAGCCCCTTGGAGTCTGCAGGGAGAAGCAGCCGCAGCTTAGAGCCCTGGCCAGGTACGACGTCCCCTGGCTTTGCCTGTGAGGCCTCCAGCCCATCTACCAACCACTCCACACCCATGAAGCCGACCGCGTGTGTGGACATGTGGGACACAGCTGACTCCACAGGGCCCCAGTGCAGGGGAGGCCGAGGCAGCCACCGCGGGTGTCAGCCTGCCCTGCCCTTCGAAAGCCATGCAGCCCAGTCCAGTCCCTGAGCCCCAGGGACTCGGTTCCACATCTGTACAGAGATGGGGCTCTGTTCCCCATGTTCCCCATGTTGCTATGGTAACCAGGACAGGCCATGGAGGCCCTGGGCCAAGCCACCCAGAACTAGCCAGGACTCAGCCTGCGAGTTGAAGGGACTGGGGCTCAGGGGGCCTCCTGGCCACCATCCAGGGGCATCCCAGGGTGGCCACTGTCCCCGTTTAACCCCTGCCACAGGCAGAGAGCGGAGCTTTACATACAGGCCCTGCACCCTTCCCACTCACACCCTCATGGCCCAGAATGCCCTGCCCACTGCACTTTCCTCCGACTTCACCCCATGACACCCAGCAGCCCCAGTGACCATCAGCGTGGTCCAGGGCACGGAGGGATGTCAATGTGCCGCTCTCTAGAAGGGACTAGTGTGACCAGCACCTTCCCTGGCCCCGTGGCCAAGCCCACGGGAAGCAGAAGGTGGCAGGCTGGACGTGGCCGCATGGGAGGTACGGGGGCTGCTGCTGGGCCACAGACTGTACCTGGGTTGAAGAGGACAATGGCACGCAGGCAGCCCAGCTCCGTCTTGTCCATCTGCATGTCCCGCATCTTGGACACCAGTTCTGTCAACACCCTGAAGGGCAAGAAGGCCACCGATTCCAGGTCAGACAGCACCCCTCACCGGCCCCACCACAGGAAGGCCTGCAGGTGGTGGGGACGGGCAAGGCCAGGTGAGGAAGAAGCATAGACGTGGGTGGCGGCCCCGCACACGTGGCAGCCAGGTGCTGCCCAGGAATGGCACCTATGCGACGTCACTCCAGGCCCGGCACTAAAGGAACCCACAAAGGCCGGGCCGAGGGAAGCCAAGCCTGGAGCCAGGGCTCAACACAGATAAGGCCCAGTCTACCTGCAGGCAGGGAGACGCCCAGGGACATGGCCTCCCCAGGGCCCACATGCACAGCAGGAAGAGGCAGGCGAAACCATGGGGCTGGCCACTCGGGGGCAGGGACATCTCACGGAACGCCCAGGGACTCTCACCATGGCACAGCCTGCCCATCCTCACGGGCCCCCCACTCCACGGCCCAGCCCGACCCTGCAGCACAGCAGTGCTGTCCAGGGCAGGACGTGGCCGGGGCCACTGACCCAGGGCTTCACATGCGTGGCCCTGCACTGCAGAAGCCGAGAGTTGACCCCACGCCCACCCCACCTGTCAAAGATGGCGCCCACCCCTGCGCTGTGGGCACTGTTTCGGTGCACGTGCAGCCCGGTGGCCAGGAGGATCCCGTCCTTTACAGCTATGGAGCGGTGGGAGAAGGAGGCGATGAGCAGCTCGTTCCACCCTGCAGGAGGAGGCACAGGGTCACTCGGCCACCATCACCCAGCCCCGCCAGCGCCCAACCTTCCCCAAACCGCCCATCCAAGCCAGTGTTCCCAAAGTGGGTTCTGCGGAACCCTCACTCCACGAAGGGTTCCATAGAAAGGAGGCTCTGCAGCACCTAAGTCGGGAAACGCCTCTTTTTCCCGCGGTGAACACTGGTACAGGCAGGCTACAACCAAGAGGAATCTTGGAATGGATACTGCTTGAAAACTAAAACTAGGAATTCTACTGGATCCAGCCAGTCCCTTCTAGGTATCTTCCTAACAGTCGAAGACATGTTTCAGAGATCCGCCTATGGCCCCACCCTGGCCAGGTGCGGGCAGGAAGGCGGATGAAGGGGGGCTCAAGAGCTAGGCGGCCATCCCCTGGGGCACGTGGCATGGGGTACCATCCCTGGGTGCTGTGCCCCCAGCCCAGCCTGGCTTTTATTCTCTCCCAGCTTGGGGCCAGATGCGGGACCAGCCAGACAAGTGAGCAGAAGCCTGGGTGTGTGTGCAGCTGGCAGGGCCCCCCTCCCGAAGCGCAGGAGCAGAGGAAGGTGGAGGGAGGAGGCCCAGCACCGGAGCCTGGGAGGAGAACGGCCCTCGCCTTGCCTCAGTTTACCCGCTGACAAACTAGAAGAGTCCAGGCATGCCTCACAATGAGCCAGAGGTGCTTATCACTTCACTTCTGAAGGTCCCCTGGACAGCTGGAGTGAGGCACATACCCCAGAGAAGGGGCCCTAACTGGCAACCACAGGCACAGGCCACTGTGGCCAGGGTCCGCCCTCGAGCACCATGGAAAAGTGCAGGCGGAAGGTCCCCAGGTGACCTCAGACCACGCCTCGAGCCCGGCCTGTCAAGGGGCCTGTCAGTCAGTCACGATGGCGAAACTGCCCCAGAATCGGGGGTCCCAGACCCAAGACTCCATCCCCGAAGGAGGAGAGCAAAGCTCACAGCCAATGCAGTAGGCCAGATCTCGTCCTTGGGCGAGAGGTCCAGCCACCTAACTGCCATAGGGGTCACTGCCAGGCAAGGCAGGCCGTCTGGTGGGTATGCGGGAGTCCACAGTGCCACAGAGCATGCCCGGCACGCACAATGCTGCCAGCCCCCACAGAAGGGGCACAGGAGGAAACTGAGGCATGGAGGACACTGCCCAGGTCACACGTTGGCAGAAAGCAGAGCTGTGCTCCGGGCCGCGAGGCCCCGTGGGACCCTGGGATTCAGGCACTTCGCGAGGCTGCTCAGCAGGGACCCAAACGCCACTGCACCCGGCATCCCGACAGCATGGGCTCTGGGGCAAGGACAAGCCCAGTGCAAGCCTGGGGCAAGAGCCTGTTCTGGGGTGAGAAGCCACCAAGGCCCCTGGAGGAGGCCAAGGGAGGGTACGCTGGTCTCCCATGGGGGCAGATAATGGGGCAGCTTCCCAGGGGATCGCTGTAGGGGAAAGGGAACTCAGACAACCTGGCCCTGGACACAGGAAGGGCCACAAGGGACCCAGTGACCAATCCTGGAGACAGACACCTACACAGAGGCATGGGTGGGTCCGGCACACTCTGTGCCTGGACAGTCCCTCCATACGGCCACCTGTGGCCAGTACCCACTCTTTCATGATCACCCCATGAGGACTGGGATCATGTGGAGGCTGCTGGAGGCTGAGGCTGTAGGGCAGCTGCCACTGATTCTTAGGCCCCGTCATCAGCTGGCGTGGAGGCCACGCTGGCCCACGGGCTGCCTGCCCGCCCAGCCCACAGGGCCACCTGCAAAGAAGCCCCTGTGGGTGTCATGATTTAGGTCTGGAGTGTCCCAGGAAACCTCCTGCCTTCAAGAGATGGGCCCTGGGGAAGGGGACGATCAATCCACTAACAAATTTCCAGCTGAGCATGGTTAGCACTGGGGCCTATTGGAGGGGCCTGGGGGGACGCGGCCTGGGGGCAACTCTCCCTCCACGCTTCTCCTTCCTGCCCAACCCTGAGCCCAAGTAAACCTCTCCTGCTTGAAGCCGCAGGTGCTGGGTCCTGTGTCTCAGCCTTGTGAAAGCTGACTACTACCAGGGTTCCTGGTGGCCCCTGCCGGTGAGGACAGGCTGCCGCCTCTGGGAGGGCTGGACCCCTCCTGTCCTTGCACAGACCCCGTGGTGGGCAGGCTCTGGGCGCCAGAGCTTGGGATTCTGGGCTGAGCAAAGAGGTGGGGGCACGAAAAGTTGGAGCGGAGCTGAGCAGATGTGTGCCCGGTGGGCAGATGCCCTCCAGATTCCGAGCGGATCACAGCAGGGACACACACCTCGGCCCCTAGGGGCGAGAAGCCGCCCAGGCAGAGGCAGAGTGGTCAAGGCCCTGAGATGGGGGGACCCCATCACCCCGACCATGACACACTCAGAGGTCCTTCCCTGAGGGAGGCAGAAAGAGCAGGGCCTTGACCCAGCACCTTCCAGAACATTCCACACACCACAGAGAACTGTCACTGCCTGGCTGGGGCCAGGTGCCAAACCTTGGGCACAGTGGCAGAGGGCTGGACAGTTGGGATGTCCAGGCCCCAGGACAGTGCAGCCCCCGGGCATGAGACAGTCACTAGCACTTCTGTGGCTTCCCAGGCAGAAGACCCCACCCACCTTGGCCTACTCCCCGGGCACCTGCATCCCACCAGCCCCCTCCAGAGAGGAGAAAGCAGCCTCGGGCTCCGCCTCCTCCAGGCCTCCAGAGCTGGCATGTCCCCAGTCCCCAGTACCCCCCGTCACCCCACTGTGCCAGCGCCCGGACACTCACCCGCCCGCAGCAGGATGACCTGGTCATCCAGTGGCAGCTCGGAGAAGTGCGGGACCCTCTTGGCCCACTCCACCAGCGTGAAGAGCTGCTTATCCGCAGCCTGGCAGATGTTAGTGACGGGGTCGTTGGGCTGTGGTGGACAAGGAGACGCAAGGTCAAGGCCCAGACCGGGTCTGCCCTGCAGGGCACACCGAGACGTTAACTGCATGGTAGCCCTGGGAGAGTGACATCCCGGCCCTGTGGCAGGACTGGCACAGAAAGGCACTCCCAGTGGGCAGACGATCACTGGGGCCATGGCCACAGCTCTGCGAGGGCTGGCAGGCCAGAGTCCCCGCTGCCTTGAGGTTAGGGGGAGGGGCACTACCAGTCTGAAGACAGCACAGGCCGCAGCCCGGCCCAGCGCGCAGCTTGACTAAGCCCCGTGAGCCCGACTGGCAGTTCTAACCCCGTACGCCCCGAGAGGCTCAACGTGCTCGGCCACCCAGCATGTGGCCATTTGTCTCAGCATCCCAGGAAGGAGGTGCTGGGCCCTGAGGAAATGGATGTGAAGGTGGCTGTGGGCAGGCATGTGCCCTGGCAGACACGCCAGACCCTGGGAGGAGCCAGGCTGGCATCAGAGTCTGACCTGCTCCGTCGTTCTCAGGGACCAGGGACGCCAGAAGTGCTGGGACAGGCAGGGACCACACCTTGCAGATGGGGCAGGGGCCAGGACAGCCCGCCCCCACCCCACCCCCCAGCATCTGCCCCAGGCCTGACCCGCTGGGACGGGAGCTACAGCACAGACACCAGGGCAGGGAGGAACCTGTTTCAGAAGTGGCCAGGGCCAGGCGCTGGGAAGAGGGGCAGTGTCTGCCTCGGAGGCGTCCACTGAGGGAAACCAGCTGCTCACCAGCGCTTTCAGGGGCTCGCTAGGGAAGAAAGCTGAGAGCGCTCAGCACGGAGGCCGAGGGCCGGGAAACGGGAAGGGTCCTCCTGAGAGGGTCGGCTGCTCCTTCACACATACACCCTCAGCCCCCTTCAGAGCCTGGCACTCACGGGCACCCAGGCACCACCGTCCTCCAACCTGCCCAGGTCGTCCAAGAGGTGAGAGAAGCCAGTGTAGAGAAGAGGTCACGGGCAGACACAGAGGGGCACGTGCAGGCTGGGCAGAGGGCAGCCAGGGAGGAGGTGGCACAGCCATGTGGGCAGCAGGAGGGGGGCCTGGCACAGTCGCTGGGAGGGAGGGAAGGAAAGAGGGGGAAGGGAGGGAGGGCGGGACGCTCCTGGCCCCTCACACAGCTCCATCTCTGAGGTGTGGCCTCGGCCAGGATCTCCCTTCTGAGAGACCCCATAATAGATGTTAGTGATCTGCCAGCTCAGCCAAAAGGATGCCCACAGGACCACCCAAATGGCAAGAGGGAGCGCCACTTTGGGGCAGAACCCCTGCCCTCCACGCTTCCTAAAAGCCCTGGGCCTCAGTGCAGGAAGCCTGGTAGAGAGGGTTCCCAGGTAATGACTTAGCTCCCCACAGCCCAAGCCCAGAAGCCCTGTGCCTGCCACCAGCCACGCTTGCAGCCTCTCCAGCACAGAGCCCGCCCTGCTGCCTGTGCCTGCGCCGTCAAGGGCCAGAGCCAGGCAGGGGTCTGGCCCAGTCACAACCAGTGGGCATCCTTGGGGGTAGGGGCTGCCAAGAGAACCTGGGGCCTTCTTCAGCTGGGTGCCCGGCCCAAGGACAGAGAGTGGGTCACAGCAGCACAGGGGAGGGCTGCTGAGCTAGGGTGGCACTGACGTCCCTGGCCCCAAGGGGGCAGTGGGGCTCTGATCAAGATACCACCCCAGGTCATCAGAGGGAGGCCCCACCCAGCATGCCTCGCCCTGCACCAACACGGTGCCACGGGCCCGCAAGGCAGCAGCCGGGCTTGGGCGGCACAGGGCAGCTTGGCGGGGGCAGCCCTGGGAAGTGACAGCTTAGCTTAGAGCCACACCAGGCAGACTGGGGGACCGTGTGCCAGGCCCCACGGGCAGAGGCGGCCGAGGAGGGGCAAAGGCCAGGGCATCCTGCAGGTCCGCCTGGATGGGTGCTGACCCCACCCCAGAACCCACCCAGATTCAGACACTGTCCGGACACTGCAATGGCCACACTGGCCACAGGTCCCCAAGAGCCAGCCGGACCGTGCCAAGACAACAGGGAGCTGGGGCTTTGTGTGCAGTCCCCCCACTGGACTTGCACAGTCAGAAACTCAGGCCTGCCCAGCCCCGGCTGCACCACCTACTCAGAAGGGCTGTGACAAACAAGGTGTCCCAGCCAGGTGAGCCTGCCAGGGCCAAGAGCCCCCAAAGCCACACATGCTCCTGTGTCCTGGGCAGGTGGGGACTCAGAAAGCGGCTTGGGCACTGCGCTGGACTCTGGCCCACATCAGGCAGAGACGGAAAGGTATGGAGGAGCTGATAGAGGCCAGCGGGTCTGGCCCCAGCCCTGGGGAGTCCAGGAGGGGGGCAACGGGTGTCCACCTGGCCCTCACCTGAGGCAGAGCAGGCAGCAGGGAACCCAGAGGGCAGGAGCAGCCATGCCAAGGCCACTCTTATGGGCATGAGCATGAGGGAGACAGACTGGCCAGAGGGCCTCAGAGCTTGGGACAGAGGGCCACTGTCCCAAGGGTGCCCTCTGGAGCATCCACGTCCATTGATAAGGACGAGGCTCGGGATGGATCTGTCTGGGGACACACAGAAGGAAGAGCTGCCCGCCTGGCCTCAGCTCCTCGCAGCCTGTGGGGCAGGGCAGGGCAGGCGACGGCGAGCCAATGAGGAATCCCAGGAAACCCAAGGCTGACTCACCGAGCTGGGGTTCAGCCCCATGTTCGCCTCCACATAGGTCTCCGTCTTGGGCTCCACAGCCAGCTCGGCCTCCAGGATCTTCTCCACGGGCATGTCCTCGTTGGCGCTGCTGGTCGACTCCACTTCACTCTCGCTCCGGTCCTTGCCCCGCTGCCGCTCCTCCTGCACGGCTGAACCCCGAGCCCCATCAGCCTGGCCATGGCCAGCTCTGAGCCCGCACAGCACCCTCCGTTTTCCTGCCAGCCCTGCGCCTGCCCCACACCCGGCCTCTTGTTGTGCGCTCTGACGACAAAGCCCACCTCTCACACAGTCACTCAACGAACAATCACATCCCGAGCCTTCCCAGGAGGAGCAAGGCAGACCCCTCCCCCGGAGCTACGGGCTGGCAGGGACTGCTGCAAGGTCAGAGGCAGGCCTAAGGCAGCTAGGAAGAGACTGCGAATGGCCCAGGCAGAGAAAGCAGAGCACGCGGGGGCCCAGAGTCAGAGCGCATCGCACTCCTGACCAGCAACGGGGACATGCTGCTGAGGAGTGAAGGAAGGCTGGACCAGCTCAGTGGCTCACACGGACACCAACGGAGCTCTCTGCTGAGCCCTACGCCCGACACTGGCTCAGAATCCTCCCTCCCCGACTGACCCCTGGCCAGAAGGTTCCAAGGCCACGGTGGCCCAGAGAGAGCCACAGGGACAGCAGCAGCAGGGCCCAGGGTCTCTGGGCTGCCTCCACCCCGGCTCTACACCCCACTCAGCCAGGCAAATCGCCCTGTTGCTCACCAGTGTCCGGTCAGTGATGGGCACAGCTCCACTTCTATCTGCCCTCCCACCCACAGGCTGGGCTCTGGCCCCAGACCCTCAACCCAGCGGCCTCTGGTTCTCCTGAACATGGTCCCCCACCACCGCCCACTCTGCTTGGGGCTGCGCCCGGCCCTCTGTGCCCTGGCCTCCCAAAATCCAAGGAACAAGGAGCGCACCGAGGGGCATTAGCAAGGCTGTCACCCCAGGCTGTAGCTCCCTCTCCTGCCCACCCTGCCCCTTCCTCCAGCCTAGGGATGCAGTTTCTCTGCTGCGCTGGTCCCAGGGATGCCAGCCCTGTGGGGCTCCCTTCCTGCCCACAGCTCTCCAACCACCCCACATGGACGCCTCTCCACCTCTTGTGCCTCTGGTGCTGGTCAGCCACCAACTGCTACTCCACTGGGGTCTACTGGGCACCCCTTGCCGGTCCCCACAAGCACCCCAAAGCAGACCCAACAGCACGGCTGAGCCAGAGACCTCCTGCTCTCAGGTTGAGACCCAAGGACAGCCCGCTGCAGATGCACCAGCCAGGAGCCACAGGGGCCTGGGGCCACTGTCCCTTAAGCCAGGCTGTCCCAAAAATCTGACAGCAGCAGGTCCAGGCAGGCAGCCGAGGCTGCAGGCAGATGGTGCGGTCTGCGGCTGCCCAGGCTGGCTGGGCTCTGCCTGCCACCCCTCCACATGGTGCAGTCACTTCTCAGAGGGCAGAGGTCACGGCTGTGGGGCCAGAGCGATGACCCCAAGGGCCCTGAGTAACCCCCAAGCAGAAAGCACACCTAAACAGCTATTATGACTGGACCAACCGCGACCCTGCAGAGGGTCTGGGCAGCTGAAAGCCCAGTGTCTGCTCAGCTGCCTCCTCTCCTTGGGGGGAAACTGAGGCTCCAAGAACTAGAAGGCCATGGCTGGCAGCTCAGGACTGCTCAGCCTCAGGCTGCAGGCTCTGGGTGGAGTCACAAAGGCCAGGCCCTCACTGGAAAGGAAAGGGGTCTACCCCAACAGCTGCGTGGACCTGGGCTGCCACTCCGCACGCAGCTTCCTGTGGCTGAGGGCACTAGCCTCCGGGGCTGTCCACCCCACATCTCACCAGGCAGGAACTGCCTGGCCCACAGCCGCCCTGGGCACTGAGTCTCTTGGCGGCGGGCTTTGCTGGTAGCCCGGAGCAGGCAGTGGGGGTGCAGTGGCACCCGCCTACTCCGCGGGCAGTGAGAATTAATTAGCAAATGTTTTGTGAAGCACTTTGAAGCCGTGAAGGGCCGCAGCAGCATCATTATAAATATTATGGTTTTATTTATAGCTGGCAGAGGGGCAGGTGGAGCCGGGGATTTATGTTCTGCCAGCTCAGTCACCTTTTAGACGCAGTCATGTTTGACTTACGCCCCGCTGGCGCCGGGAGGCCTCGGGCAGGGAGGCGTCTGTAAATACAAGGCCTCCTTATCCTCCCGAAGCCGCACGGTGCGCCGCAGGCCAGAGGCGGCCACAGCAGGGAGGAGGCCGAGCTGGAGGCCTGGGACTGGCTGGGGGCCTACTCTTGGCCTGGGAGACCCCGGCCCAGCCAGGGACGCCCCTTCCCAGCTTGGCAGAAGGGGTCTCCGGCAAGGGCCACAGCCACAGTGAGGTACTGCCAGCCTGCTGCAGCCCCGGAGCAGAGCAGGAAGCCCTCCCAGAGGACAGCTCGGGGAGGACAGGCAGGGCACCCGGAGGGGCAGGGCAGCCCAGGCCCAGATACCACCCGTTTGGGTGCCAGTGGCTGCTCCTCTCCTTTGTCCCCCATCAGCCCAAGGACCCTCAAAACAAGCAGAACCCAGTTCTACTAGAAGGCTGTGGACTAACTCCACATCTGGGCACCAGAGGGCCAGACAGGGGTGTCCTCCCAGGACCACGAAGCGAGTGGGGGTCCTTCGGGTACAGAGGGGATGGTCTTCCCTTAGGAAGGCCAATCTAGGACAAGGCACATGCTGACAACCACGCACACGTCAAATGATTCTGACATGCACATACACAACTGTGCACACACACACACACACATACACACGCACGTGAGCACATGCACACACACACACACACTCCACAGCTCCTCTGCAGCCCCACCCCCAGCCAAGCCACATCCTCCTCTGCCGTAGAGCACCCTGCTGTATTCCCTCATCTGTGGGACAGATGAAGACCCTAAGCTCACACAGGTGAAGTCACCTGCCCAGGGCCACAAGCCAGCTCTCCACCGCAGCAGGGGCTCCTTATCTAAGACAGCAAAGGTGGGGCCACCCATCTCTATGCACATGTGCATGCACACGTGTGCACAGACGTGGCACACACTGCTCTTCCCGTGCCCGGGTCCTCAGAGCTGGGGGACTGGGCATAGGGAGCAGCCTCAGGCGGGAGCAGAGGACACAGTGTGCCTGGGAACGTCCAGTCTGTCCCCCCAAGACGCGCACACCTGCAGGCCCCCAACCCAGCCAGCCCCTCACCGGCAGACAGGCCTGGGCGCAGCCTGGTGATAAGCCAAGGCCTGCAAGCCGGGGAATGCGGCAGAACGAGTCCTCGAGCTGCCTGCCGCTGCAGGCCCAGCTGGTGCCCAACAGAGATGCTCTCGGCTCTGGTCCCTCACCACCCCGCTTCCCAGCTCCAGCTGGGAGCCTCACCCGTCCTAGAGTCAGGGTGGCCCCTCTGGGGAGCGGAATCACCTCACAGGGAGACCTCATGCCACCCCAGGCACCCTCCTGGCCACTGAGTCCAGGGCACTGAGAGATGAGGCAGAGACATGTGTGGGTTTGTGAGGCATCAAACCAGTGGGGCCTGGCACTTAGCAGGGCCCAGCTATCCACACTTGGGGCTCTCTGCAGGGAGCCTGTGGGGAGCCTGGAGGCCAATTATCCCAAGAGGGGCCGGGGAGATGGCTCAGGAGAATAAGCACTTCCCTGGCAAGCACAAGGGCCTGAGTTCAATCTCCGGTTCCAAAAAAAAAAAAAATTATCCCAAGAGTGGGGCTGTTTGCTGCATCTCACAGCTGGCCGGGAGACTCCACAGGCCCGGGGCAGGCAGGTGACAGGCACCCCACCTGCACAGACCAGGTGCGGGAGCCCAGGAGCTCGACTCCTCCAGCCGCCCACACAGAGCCACGGCTGCACCTACCAGGGAGGCCGTTTTGCGTTGTTGTGTTTGGGGCACGAGAGCACTTTGTAGGAGGCTTTTACAGCACATTCATGACTCATAAATCCAGCTGGAGGCACAGGGGAGGAGGGCGCTCAACAGGATCAGGGATTTATCTAACAGCCGTAAATCCAGCCTCAAGGCTGCATCTGCCTGGCGGGGCTGGATGGAAGACTCAGGACGGGACTGCAGACGCAGCCAGCAGGAGGGAGAGCTGGCCAACGGGTGGTGGGCACGGCCGGGAGGGTCCAGCAGCCCTCCCCACAGGAAGTAAGGGCAGCACTCAGCACGAGCTGGGAGCAGGGGTACCAGGAGGGGCCAGGCCCCCAGCCTGAGAGGGCAGCAACGTACAGGAGTGGCGGGAGTGTCACCCACGCCCCAGGCTTCGGGAGAACCAGCCTGGGGAGTCTGAGAACAGCAGGACCTTGTCACCCCTGGCAAGGAGGTGCTTAGGCTGAGGGCCCCTACCAGGGCCTGAACTGCAGCCCTTCCAGGTGCCAGGCTCCGGGTCTGACCTGCCTTCTCCCACCACCTGAGCTGTGTGCCCCTTGCCCAAAGGTGTGCCAGGTGCCCACACCCAAGCTCATAGCCAGCTCCCTCCACACCCGTGGGGCCCTGCCTGGTCACCTGCTAGACACTTTCCGTGGAGCAGGGCTCACAACCCTGCACCCAACACCGGTGATGCCTGGCAGCAACCTTAGAGAAGGCGCAGCCCAGCCCAGGCACAAAACCAGGCTGGTGCGATGCACCCAGCTCCACCTCACGCTTGGGCCCAGCCGCAGGCGCTCCACACCTGGGCACACGCCTGCACGCCGCCTGGCCCGCCTGCCCGCGACTTGCCAGTTCCCATCCTCCAGGCACCTTGCCGCACTCACCTCTCCAGGGAGCTTCCCTGACCACACGCAGCACCGACGCCAGCAGGGCCCACCCGCCCCTCCCCACAGGGCACTGGCTCCTCAGCCTGTCACCAGCAGAAAGAGCAGGGGCACAGGCCAGCTATCAGCTGGGCAGGTGGCCCTGGAGAGGTCTAGATGCTCTCACTTGCCCCACTCGCCTAGTTAAGATAAACCCAGAGAAACTCCCAGCAACAAGAAGCTGCGCACCCAACCAGGAAGGCCTGGCTCACCATGCCCTGGCCCACGACCCCACTGCGAGGGACACCGCTGCCTGCCTGAGCGCCCCGTCCCACATGGCTCACCCGAGACACAGCCCGGAGGAGGGAATGCCGCAGGAGGGGGGCCCGCTGAAGTCTCAGCTGCTCCAGCCAGACAGAGGCTGCGGACAGAGCAGCCTCAGACACAGACACAGCGGGGTGCACGTGCAGGCTGGCAGCCACCACTCAGGACACTCACCGCAGGGACAGCACTCGGGGGCTGCTCCTCGGGAGCCACCAGGACTGGTGGGCAAAACCCCTCGCACCCCGGCACCCACTGTGCTGCCGCACGCAGACAGCTACGCAAGCCCACTGGGATTCTCTCTCCCACGTGCAGGGGCGCCAGGCTGCCAGCGAGAGGGCCGAGCGCCCAAGCGCGGGGCAAAGCGGGCTGAGGCAGGGCACAGGGTGGCTGAGGCGGGGCGCGTGCTCGACCCCTGCCGGGACCCAGCTGCACAGCTCACACACATCTCAACGAAACCGGCTCCAAAGTCCTCTGAGGTCCTGCGGTGGCCGCTTCCCACCAGGCAGGAACTAGAACCGGAGCTGGAGAGGTCCCTGCATCCAGCAGCTCAGGCGACACGACCTCCAGGGCTCCGGAGGCCCAAGGTCCTCCCTGGCCATTTCTTCACTGGGCAGCTGGGCGGGCAGCCAGAGGACACGTGGCACATGCACACGCAGGCACGCTCCTGTCCCGCACACCGCCCTGCCCCAGTTCTGTCCTGCTTCACTGCACCCTGCTGGTGCTGTGGGCATGGCCTGGAGGAAGGGGTGCAGGGGCTCCAGGGGCGCCTCTGCTCACGGCCCACCACGGAGCAGGCTCTGGGGAGCACTGAGCCAGTGCCTGCCAGCTGTGGGCCGGGCTGGACTCCGGGCGGGCTCAGGCCCCCACACCTACCTTCCCGCTTCATGCCCATGGCCAGGCACTTCTGGTAGCGGCAGTACTGACAGCGGTTGCGCTGCCGCTTGTCGATCAGGCAGTCCTTGTTGTCGCGGCAGGTGTAGGTCAGGTCCTTGCGCACCGTCCGCTTGAAGAAGCCCTTGCACCCCTCACAGCTGTACACACCATAGTGCTTGCCTAGGGCAGGAGGGGGCGTGAGCGGGCCAGCAGTGGACCTCCCACCGGGAGGGCTCCCCCTGCCCGACCCTGGGGAGCAAAGTGCGGCCTCCATCCCGGGTCAGGGCCCTTGCGCAAGGGCTGCATCCAGGGCCTGGTCACCCTCGCTGCCCCTTCCTGGAAGGCTCAGGATGGACACCACCCTCCCTGGTGTCCCCAGTCACAGACGGGGCGGTGGGGCACAGAAGGGGCAGCCTGGAGCCCACCTCCCCACCCCGCTGTCCCTGCCCACCTGCCGCCCTACCTGAGGAGCGGTCCCCACAGATGGCACAGATGTGCTTGGTGAAGGATGCCATGTTCCCTGAGGGGTGGGCGGGGACCTTGAGGACGCCATTGAGCCCCAGGGGGGGCTTGATGTCCTCGCTGCTGCTCACAGGGTTCATGGGAGAGCTTAGCTGCAGAGAGACGGCCGGGAGGGTCAGCCCCAGGCAGCCCACCCCCGCATGCCCCAGCAGCCCTGCAGCACCCCCATTTGACAGACAGGCCGCCACACAGCCATGGGGTGGCAAGTCACGGAGCTCAGGAAGGCAGGGCTCTGCTCTCCACTTCCCCAGCCAGCCCCAAGGCCCCCATCCCCTGCTAGGCCCCAGGCAGCTGCAGACCCCCAACTTGGGACCCACGGCCCCATCCTGCACAGGAGGGTCCCACCAAGCCGCCAGGGGCTGCCTATGGCCACTGAGCCGGGCTGGGTGCTCCCTGGTGAGGCAGGCAGAGGAAGCCTGGGTCGCCCCGGCCACGCAAGCCCCGTGCACATTGCGGGGCAGTGGTCTCTGCCACACTACGGGAGGGGGAGAGCCGGCGCCCACAGGCCCTGGGCGGCATCAGCACCTCTGGGCCTCCGCATACCCCTCCGCCCCACCCGCCAGCCGCCAGCCGCCAGGGCAGGCGTGGGAAACTCACCCGGTCGCCCTGGCAACAGCTGCGGCGTGCAGTGACACAGCAGTTTTGGTTCCGCTGCCTCCAGCACAGCTCTGCAACCAGCACACTGGGCCGGAGGCACCGCCAGCCCCGCATCCTGCCAGCCCGCCTGTCTGCCGGGCACACACGCCCCAGCTGGGCAGAGCCCCCACTTCTGCAAGCCCCATCCACGGCGGAAAGCCAGCTGCTGCACAGCTGTCCCCAGCCACCCTGCCCTTGGGTAGCCCCTGGCCACCCCGCACGTGAACCTCACCCCTTCCTTCCTCACCACCTCGGCCCCACCCCCCTTTCCCACAGGACTGGAGGGAGGTGCTCAGCATCAAAACCTTTCCGGCAGCCTGGGCCCCCGAGAGGATTTCCCAGTGGTCTTCCCAGACCAGCACACTGAATTCCCCAAGGCCCCAGGTAGGCTGAGGAGAGGCTGGCCCAGAACTGTGGCTATCCAGGGTCCCGCTGCGGCACAAGGCTGTCCCTGTGTCACTCACTGAATGCCCCATGTACTGCTTCCCAGGCGTCAGGAGGGCGTGCTGGGCCCTGGATCTGCGCAGTGGCTCTGGGTCCCCCACAGCTTGTGCCCTGGCAGAGGGGAGCCCCGGGGCCAGAGGCTAATGGGCCCCTCAACCCCCTCAGCCTGAGGCCTCAGTGACAAAGGCCCAGGCCCACTGAACAGTGCTAGGGAGGAACCTCACTCATCGCCTCTTTCTGTGACTGCCCCAAACCACACGGAGGTCTCTGCACAGTCTCCTTACTCCTGCATGCAAACCCTAGGTAAACTGAGGCAGGGCCAGAGCAGCAAAGAGATATGAGGAGCCACACTGGCAAGCCAGAGGCCCTGGACACCCCAACAGCCTGGGCAGGCTGAAGGCTGGGCAGGTCCTGGGGCCACCACGGGGCTCTCTTGGCAACCAGGGTGGCAAGTGGGGATGGGGTGGGTCGGGAGGACATCTTTCTGCCCTGCCCGGCCCAAGCCAGCAGGCCCAGCTCCCGGATTCGAAGCTCCTAGCACAGAGCACAGGGCATCCCCGCCCCCACCGAAGGCTTCGGCACTCCCAGCTGTGGCCCTTCCGCCCTTCACTGGAACCAAGCCCTCCCTCGGCAGGGTGGGAGCTGCCCACCCATTTCCCCTTTCGCATCCGTGGGGTACATTTCAGTTCCCACCTCGCCAGCACCCCACCAGGCTGTGCCCGGCTCCCTGCTCTTTCTCCAGCACCCACCATGCTCTGCTCTCAAGGTCCACCTCTCGGGCCACCGCGCTCACCTCCCTGTGCCCTCAGCGGCCCTCCCGAGCCTGGCTCTGCCCAGACCCTGGAGCCGGGCCTCCACCAGCAGACCCCTTCCCAGCTGAGGCCTCTAGCAGGCAAAGCTGCGCACAAGGGAGCCCTTGCCCACCACAGCAGGAGTCAGAGGACCTTACTAGCTTGCTTGGGCAGCTGCGTCTGTGGCTTGGGGCTGGCAACGGGGCGCACACACCCCGATGTCCACCCACTTGCCACCAACACAGAGAGCCTAGGGATCTGAGGCAAGCTGCACACAGTGACCAGCGATGCAGCTGCGCGTTCCAGAGGAACCAAAGCATCCAGTGGAAGGACAGCGAGGACAAGCTCAGACGGGGCAGCCCGGGAGCACAGCCGTGAGCACGCAGGCTTTGCCCTCCACCTCGTCAGCCTCAAGGTACCCACTGGGACCCCTGCTCACACAACTGGGGGTCAACAAGCTCCTATGTCACACCCTTGCCCGAAGTGCACAGGAAATGACAGAGTAGGACCCACATGGCCCGAGGCCCTCCCACTGCCACAGCCGCCCAATCCCACTGCAAACCACGGGCAGCACAGGCCTGGGGCCACCGGCAGTGCCCAGCCTCATGAGCCGCAATGCCAGCAGGTGCTACCCGCAGGGAAGTCAAGCTCGTGCACGCCGAGTCTTCATCTGCCCTCTCGCCAAGTGGCATCAGGCCGGCAGCAGGAGCGGGTGTAGGGCAGCCACGCTAAAAATAGCACAGCCAGGCCCAGGAAGCTGGTTGGGCATCTCTTGTGCCAACAGCTCAGGTCTCTGTGCTGCTGGAAGGCCAGGTGACAAGGGGAGGGTGCCCCTGGGCAGGAGTTCTTCCCCCCATCCCCCAGGGCAAAGAGCTTGGGGTTGCCCTAGAAGAGCCAAGGAAGTTCTCCAAGGGGCAAGGGCTTGAGAGGGCCCAGGTAGGCGGACAGTGGCTGCCTCGGACACTGAGCGCACGTTCGGCCTGCTGGCGGGCAGCAGGAGCGCTATGGGCGTCTGGGGAGCTTCCGTAGGCACAGGGGCCTGGAAGTCCTGGGGCAGCTGGCCGCCTGGCTCTGGCCGGGCCTGCTCTGCGGGTCCTCCCGGGGTGTGGCTATGAGGTGGCCACAGAGCTCTCTGTCACAGAGCTTCAGCTACTAGACACAAAGGACTGAGTCCAAGCTCAGAAATCAGAGCAGCAGGGGGGTCTCCAGCCTATTTTAAGGAGGACAGATGGGCCCACAAGGGCCGGCTGACAAGCGCAGGACCTGGGGGCATCAATACAGGAAATCCAGCTGGAAATCCAGCGGGAACCATGCAGCGAGCAGCAGGCAGCAGCTCAGCTCCTTGCCGGGACAAGCACCCCCTGGGTCCCCACAGCAGGACCTGCCGTGCCCCGATCCAGAAGTAACAACAATCCCGGTGGTGGGGGAGAAGCGTCGGAGCAGACCCCAAGCGCCCAAGGGGCCCTAACCCTGTGCGCACCAGGCACCCGCCGGGCATGAGGAGCCAAGGCCACCAGGCACCAGGGCCTGCACCACAGACACCATCAGGCATGAGCAGAGGGGACGCAGCTCACTCAGCCCCAGGGCCCAGAAGGCCCACGGCTACAGAGTTAGAGCCCCCCAGAGTCCCTCAGAGCTCCCAGAGCCCCCAGGGGGCAGGACCCAGCAGGCAGGCAGAGAAGCCGCCCAGGTCCAGGGCAGCCGGGCTGCAAGTGAGGCCCACCACCCGCCCGCCCTGCCCCGCCCCGCCCTGCCCTGCCCTGCACTCACCTGGGGGCTGCCAGTGCCGAAGCCCAGGGTGGGCGTAGTGGGCACCGACATGGAGTGGGGGCCCATGGGCGAGCTGATGACGGAGAAGGGCGGGCCCATGCCGTTGATGGGTGAGCTCAGCGTACTGATGGGCGAGTGCAGCTGCCCCGGGGAGCCCAGCGAGGAGCCGAGGGAAGGGCCCAGCGCAGGGTGCAGTGACGGGGCGGCCATGGAGCCCCGGCCCGTCGGGGAGGTGAGGGACGAGGAGTTCACTTGGGTGGAGAAGTCTGCAAGACAAGAGTCCATGGGGTCAGAGAGGCCCGAGGAGGCTGTGCCACCACTCGTGTCCTGGGCACACGTGGGCCCACAGGAGACCCCACACCAGACGTGGCCTGGCAGTCACCAAGGCCCACACAGCCCCACCCAGTGGGAGCAGGAGAATCCTGGGCGCTGTCAGGAGGCAGTCTGCGTGTGAGGCACGGAGAATGCGGGGCATGAAGGGCGCAGCCAGCACCCGCATGCAGACAGAGTGAGCAAGGCCAGGGGTGGGGCGGGGCTTGCAGCTGCCCGTACAGAGCTAGGATGGGCGCCGCAGGCTCCAAAGCCACAGTGCCCAAGTCTCACAGCCCCACCAAGGTGGCAGCAGATGCCAGCCCTCGGGGCCCTCTCATTCTAAAGAAGCCCAGCGGCAAGAGAGGGCACCTGGCACCTCCTGTGTGGGTGGGGAGCTTCCAGGCAGCCTCGGGCAGGGACCACCCACACGCCAGCCTTTCATGCTGGGATTTCAAGGCCCTGAACAGCACCTCCTTGGGCGCCTTGCCCGGGGCTGCAGAAGCCCCCAAGTGGTGCACCTACCACCTCCCAACCATCAGGCCACCATGGGGAGGCACGGGGCTCACAGGTGGCACGGGCCCGGTGGCTCAGCGCTTCCTGGCCTCCTCACTGAAACCTCACACTCTTCCGGGAAGCCAGGCAGCCACACAGCACAAGGAGAGGCTGTGACCCAACGGGCACCCTGGAGCAGGACACGGGCCTGATGCACCACGTGGCACCCACAATGCCTCCACCGCCCTGGGGCTCACCTACAGGTGGCACCTGTGTCCCAGTGTAAGAAACGAGCTTACGAAAGTCTCCGGGATACCACCGCCACCACGGCACAGCACTCAAGAGCGCTCCGGCCGAGGCCCACGCTCGTGTTGCCCTACTGTCTCAGAAGCTGGCCACGGAGCAGTCAAGGGACCCCAACAGCTTTGCCAACAGAGGCACCAGGGCCACAGAGGGTCCCACCGGGCCCCAACGCCACAGTGGGCCTGAGCCCATGATCTTCCTGGGCACTTCCTCCTGGACCAGGGTTCTGGGTCAGCCAGGCACCCCAGGACCGGCTCTGACTGTGGAGGCCGGGGCGTGGCTGCCACACGTGCACTCGACGGATACAACTCTACAGGTGACACAGCCCCGTCTGGGGCCACTGCAAACCGCTGGACGCCTTTGCCCCTCCTATCTCGAGGAACAAACCGTTTCTTTGAACTTCAAAATCTCAACCTAAGGAAATTCAGAACTAGGTGGCAGAGCAAAGCAGGCTGACGGGCACTGCAGGCCAGCCCACTAGCTGCCAAGCCCTGGGTGAGGAGGGGCGCCCAGGGGCTGGCCAGAAAAGACAGGCAATGAGTCCTCCAGAGGGACACAGAATCAGCCGCTTGTGTGTGACACGCCTCCACACCCTTGATGTCACGGAACTCCTGCAACCCTGTCGAGAACGCTGCCGCCGCCGCCGCCGCCGCCGCCGCCACCGCCGCCGCCGCCACCCACCCCGACACACGGGAAATGCACAGAGAAGGTGCCAGCCAAGGGCCGCCCACGGGCACATGTCCTGCGAGCGGCAGTCCCCAGGGCACCAGCAAGGGCCCCAAAAGAGGAATCCAGAGCCAGCTCTTCCTCTGCGAGCCCCGCCGGCCACACCCCGCACCCTGTCCTCAGAGACACCTGCCAACTCTGGGACAGGAGGACAGAGTTCAAGCTGACCGCTGGCCGGCCCAGCCCTGCAGCACCCTCGTCTGAGGCACGGCCGCAAGGGGGTGTCAGGGAGGCGGCTTGGTGGGCATGAGGCCTAGAGCCACCCAGGCGGCCCCAAAGAGTCAACCAAGCAGGGGTCTGCCTGGATGCCATCCCTTTTGTGCTCCACCACATGCTGGGGGCGGAGGGCACAGAGGACCAGGCCACGGGGCCTGCGCTGGAGCCCGCTAGCTGCTGCCGCCTCTGGGGGACGTTTTCTTTCCTGCAGTACTGGAGATTGAGCCCAGAGCCTCGGCACTGAGCTACATTCCCAACACATTTTTTCTTCAATACTGGGGTTGAACTCAGGACCCTGCGCTGACAGGCAGGTGCTTATTCTACTGAGCTACCTCCCCGGCCCTACATTTTTATTTTTTATTTTGAGACAAGGTCTCCCTAAGTTGCCCAGGCTGCACTCAAACTCAAATCCTGCTCCCGCTCCCACAGCACTGATATTACACACAGACACCCCACATCCAGCTCGGCCAGGCAGGTGTCCCCAGACATCAAGTAGGGCAGGCTGTGCCGCCAGGAGAGAATGCCCCTCCAGAGACAGCCCAGCCAAAGAAGGGGGTCAGGAGGGAGCAGTGTGGCTCCCAGGTACCAGGCTGCACCCCAAATCTCCCCAGACCCCCATCAAGTCTCCCACACTTGGCCTGCATTCGCAAGGGCGCTGATCAGATGGAGGGAGACCTGGCCCCGAAGGCACAGAGGAAGGGGGCCGCGGAGACAAGAGGACGCCACGGAGGCTCCTGGCGGCCCGGCCACAGCCCCTGGCCTGGTGTACACAGGGATGGCCACCCCAGCAGGGCCTGCCTTGGCCGGCCACCACCCTCAGGCCCCAGCCTGGGCCTTGCTGCTGGTGCAGAAGGTTGACTGCAGGTGCCTTCCAGGGGCGGGTGACAGCAGACCAGGCATGTGTCTGCAGCCTCTGGGACAGAGACACTTTCAGGCCAGAAGGGAGTGGGCAAAAATGCCCCATGCCCAGCCCTCAGAGAAAGGCCTGCCTCCACCTGGGCCCAAGCACCCACACCGCACCTTCTAGGTGGCCACTGCCCCACCCAGAGCTGTGGCCTCAATGGGGCGGTGTCACCAAGCCCAGGACCCTCCCAGCCCTGAGTGCAGAGGGGCCGCCAAGGGACAGAGCCCAGGAGACAACACTGACACCACAGAGCCTGGCCCCACCAGCCCTCAGAGCCTCACACCCCCAACACCCTGCCCCCGCCCCCAGCGCAACCTGGAATGGGGGGAAAGCTGCGGGGCACTCATGGGGGCCTCCAGGCACACCAGAGACGGCGGCAGAGGGAGCAGGCACGGCAGCCCACGCGGGCGCAGCCCAGGAGGCCTCCTGGAAGGGGCGGCACTGTCACTCCCCTTGGTATGACACCAACTCGGACCCAAAGGCCTGGCGGCAGAGGTACCCCCTGCTGCCCGGTGCCCAGAGCAGACAGGGAAGCTCCTTGACCCTGAGGGGCCAACGTGCCATTCAATAAATCTGAAATGAAGAATGTTCTCACCCTAATTGCTGCCCCCACGATGGCAGGTGCTGGGAGGTGCTGGTGGCCCCACAGGGCATGCAGAAGCACCGAATTCCTGACTGGCCCGGCACTCCCCACCCCCAAGTGCCCACCAGCACCACGCTTCCCCTGCCCCACACCACAGGAAGCCCAGGGAACCCCCACAGCCCCCTTCCGGCCTCTGCCCGGCAGGCACGGGAGGCACAGAGGTGGCAGGAAATGCCAGCCCACTGCGGCGGGGGGTAGGGCTGTGCCCAAGCTTCCAGGGCCCTCCCGGTACCCCCAGCCCTCTGGGATCCCCAAGAGCAATCAGGCCACCCCCAGGGTTAAACAGAAAAGGCCACCACGGAGGTCCTGGTCCAGGGCCAGCAGGACATCCCAGAGCAGGAGGCGGGGCGGGGGCGGGGCTAGGGGCGAAGCAAGACACCAAAGCCAGACAGGGCACGAGCGCCCCATCCCTGCCTGGGGACCCCCCCGGAACTGAAACCTTGTGGTGGGCAGCTAGTGGGCCCCCAGAACTTCCTGAGACGCCTACCTCCGGCCCCACCTTCCAGAAGTACTGCTTCCCCTGCCACCAGGGAAGGGAGAAGTGGAGGCCCGGCGCGCCAGGCACGGGGAGGGGGCAAGACCACGGCGCGCCGGGCACAGGGAGGGGGCAAGACCACGGCGCGCCGGGCACGGGGAGGGGGCAAGACCACGGCGCGCCGGGGTCTGCGGGGAGCTGAGGGTGGTCAGGGCAAAAACAAGGAGGGACACAGGCCCACAGAGGGGAAGTCTTCAGGGACAGCACCTGGCACATGGGCGATGAGGAGGAGCCACGGGTTCCTTGCTCCCTGGCCAAGGGGCCCTGGCAACCCAGTAACCTCAATGAACCCTTCTGCGAAATGGGCACGCCAACAGGGGAGGCGGCCGTGACCACCCAGCAGAACAGCCCCCGAAGGCCCCTCAGCGCTTGGCCCTCCTGCCAGCACGCACCCCCACTTCCTACAGGGGAAGCAGAGATGGGGCCGCCACCTTCCTGGAGGAGGGTGGCCCACTGCTGTCACCTGCCTAAGTGTCGGTTTACAGCTCTAGTGGCCCAAACTGAAATTTCATCTCTTCTGGGGTCAACTCAGCCCTTCTCCAATCAGGGCCCAGCCCCAAATCTCAGCCCCCTGAGGAAGTCCCACAGCAAGGGTAGCTTCATGGAGGGTCAGGAGAAAACGGCCCTCCCAAAAGCCAGGGGCCTCAAAGCAGGGAGCACAAGGAAGGAGCCCTTGGCTCCCCAGGAAAGGTCAGACACCCACTGGACCCAGAGCTCAGGCCCAGACCCAGGAAGCCCACACGGGTGCCCCCAGCGCCCAGCCAGCCTCGCAGAGACTGGCCAGCCTGCCCCGGCCACCCTCCCCAGGGGCGCACACAGTTATCCACCCCCTCCAGGTCCGGCCCTGGGACAGGAGGGGCGAGGACAAGAGGGAAGGGGACCCAACCCAACCACAGTCCCATTGGCCCAAGAACACACAGGAGCCAGGAATGGCCAGGCATTGTGGCCTCATTGTCGACAGAGGACACAGATGTCCCAAGAGCCCGAGGCACACAGGCCAGGTGAGGGGGCTAGAATCCTGTCTGGCCACTGCTTCTGCAAGCCCAGCCTACCCCAGTGCATCCTCCAGGGGCCTGAGGACCTGACGGCAAGACCCTCCCATGGTCCCTGCTCCCGGCCCTTGTCAGGAGACAGC